TTGGATGTTCGCCGCTGTGATTTGGCGGGTACTAACAGGTCTCTGCTACAGGTAGGAGGAAGCGGTTGTATTCGCTGTATGATTTTCATGTTCAGTGCAAATTCATGCGACCAGAGGTTCGGCAGGGTTACAATAGCCAAGCGTGCAGTGCTCTGCACACATCCGCCCACACTCCATGGGCGTTCACCGCTTGGACCGACGGCTTCCTCATGGTGAGAAGGAGAGGGGCTCAGTCGGGTTGGAGCTAGTCTCAGGGTATCAACACTTCGGATGATTTGGTTCGCTGGACGCAGTACCTCATTGCACGGTACAGCTACACCGCCGTGGACGCCTCCAAGACTTTGAGATCGCATATGAGCACTATGACTGGTAGGCTGCTCATCTCAAGCAAGTACACAAGGCTTAGTGATAGGGACGCATCCTTTTGCTGAAGTGCAGCATCATCGGCAAGCTTTTTTCACTGGAGGTAACGTACGAATCCATTGTGAACTTAAAAGACCCATCACGAGGCCAGTGAGAAGGCGTAAGGCCAGTATACTGAGGTGGGTGTCTTTCTCGGGAATGCCCCGGGACTGTTTCTTTCAGTGGTGGAGGAACTGTAAAGCCGATGCCAGGAGACCCCATCGCAGCTGTCTGTGTTAGAGCCGGGCACTCTGGGTAGGTCATGGTGGTGTTATGTAACGATAACCTCTTTGCTCAGGCCGACTGACCACGTAGTGGCAACAGCCTTGACTGGGGGGCTGGTGGTGATCCAGAGTACTACCTACCTCGCTAAGGGTCCCCAAGCACCACGGTCTAGGCGTTGACCTTCCTCTTCTGTATCGGCTGACAATGTTGACTCCCAATCTACTATACCATTCAGACGTCGTTTATTATCATATTTATCGTATCGCTTTGGATGATTCTGGAACTAGTCTCCATATGATGCAGTTTTGTGTTGGGAAGACTCACGTGGAAGTTTCTAGTCAGGCACGGCTACGCTCTGCTAGGAATGCTCTTAGTGCACGCTCTAGGCGAGAGGCTAAGCATTTCGTTAATTGATGTGGTTGTTGCCGTGGACCTTGATCCCTCCCGTTCATCCTCCTTTCTGTGTGAAAGTATCGACTATGGTTTCCGCCCAAGGCCAGGTCGTGCTTGAGTCAGTTGGTGATTGCTACTCTCCCTATTGTGACCATGGGAGAAAGTTTTCGTGAGGGACCTGACTGTGAATGATGTGAAAATAGGGAGTGTGCGCTCTCTGCAGACGATTAACGAGAAGGCCTTGTGGTGTTTCTGCGCATCCCACGAGGCTGATGCCTCTATTGAATTGCTGTTTGATCTGCCTATCTGATACGCTACGATCTCTCATTTTACGATGATGTTCAGTTTATTGTTCCTCAAGCGTAGGAGTTATGGTCGAATTGCTCAATTCGTCTGAGTGTTCACTGGAAAAGCCTTTGATAGTGATGCAGTGATATTGCGTGAAGCGTGGTCATGCAGTTGTTGATTTCTGAATCTAACTTTTCGGCTTGTGTTGTCGAGTACTAATGAGGAGCTGATTGGTAGAGCATACGTGTTCACTGTGAGCATCGTTTCGCAGTCTCACAAGGACATCATAGTATTGTGTCGGGAGTATGGCAGTACCATTCACGCGTCGATTAGAGCGAGAGATAGATGAGATCAATGACCGTGGCGCTGCAGATGGTAATCAACTCCCCCTGAGTGCACTTGCAGTGTTACGATGAATAGAAAGAGTGTTCTGAGCGTTTGCGATTGTCGTAGGTCTCTACCTCGACCCTTCGGTATCCGAGTGGCCGTCATCTAGCCCATCAGAGAACAGTCGAGTTTCCGCTATGAGACGGCAGCCAGGCAATGTCGC